CAAATCCACATCTCCACCTATTGCCTACTAAAACTCTCAACAACCGTCCTGAAGATGGCAACTGGAACGTTTGTCGAAACGGATACTTTTCAACATTAGATACGGCTAATCGCTTGAAAGTCGAAGATGGACGATGTTTTTTGGTTTATCCACCCCTGTTTTTGTAAGAAAGATAGTTGCAACAGGTAGCCTTAAAAATGTATTATATTCTGGGTTTTAGGTTATCATTGGGTGGCAAAGAGTCATAATTCAAAAGGCAGGTCGTAAAGTGCGTTGTAAAAATGGTTTTATAGCCTCGGTGGGCTGCAATTAAGCTGACGAATCTTTGGCGTAATAAAAGAACATCGTGAGGCGTGATGTCTACTACCAAAGGGCAGAGCCGCCTACCGGAGTCACTGTGGATCGCTTCTGTTTATGACCGCTGGTAACAAAATGATAATCCAGATATGTTAAGAAATCAAATGACTTATTCTGACGCAAATGTTGCACGTTACCTGCTGTGCACGTCCGGTGGATAAATTTATGTGCAGACGAATGTCCCATCTTGAAAATGAGGAGTTGAATGAAATGGCAAATGTACTGGCAACAATTATGATTAAATTAATTAATTTATTATCAGTGTACTGCTTCAAAGTCAGAAGACCAATTATAGATACATCGCAAGAGAAGAACAGAATAATAAATACAGAAATGTAACAAGAAAAATTATTAAAAAATACACGAGTGACAAGGTACAATATCAGAGAATTATAACACACGGTTGATCAAATTTAATTAATGGAAGAGAGAAAGGGGGCAAGAGTATATAAATAATAATAATAATAATAATAAATAATTTCATTATTTACTCTCGGAATGTTGAATCAACCGTCTAACTACCATTATAGGCATTGAACAAAAGTAAAACTAAAAAAATAAACAACAAATTTTCAGTAAATTATATTCTACGAAAGATCTCAGTGGCCGAGGGGAATGGGTCCTGTTTCAAATCCCGCTCAAGGCATGGATGTTTGTATCCGTCTTTTGTGGCGGGCTGGTCACTGATCCAAGGAGTTCTACCAAATGTATAAAATGGTTCATAATTTTAGAATTAATTCTGAATTGGAACATGTCACAAGACGTAATCTGTAAGATGATGATATTGAACAAAATCTAGTACGCAAAAGGCTGTTATTAAGGAGTAAGAAATTACATAAATTATACTAACCTAACCTAACCTAACCTAACCTAATTCTATGGAGCAGAATCTGTTTTGACAAACAAATAATAACCTGACTCAATACCCCTCTTTGTACCTGAAGCTAGAAGCAAATTGCAGCTTCCAGAACTCTGAATTTTTATAATTTAGACGATGTACAAAGTCTAAAAGAACAATTCTGCGTATTATAACGCACTGTGTCTTCACAAATAGTCGAGACTCCAAAAAATAGTAACTTATTAAGTAAGCGTCATTTTAATCTTCAAGTTCTTGATATGAGACATGAGGACTAGAAGATTTTTACGTGGATTGTGGCAAAGTTTCCCTCGTATTTGAAACATATTTTCAGTTCCTTCATAAATTTTTCTCAAATATTCTAACTTCACTACAATTTTTAAAGATGTACCAGCTCGTACCGGTCCGGTTCACATTTCTTACGGCAATGAGCTTTGAATTCGACCTCCGTTGTTATTTTCCAGTTGCCAAGACTACTCACTCCACCCCGATGGCACAAGCAACCTCAGTCACTGAAAGAAACTCACTAGGAAGCACGGGGCTTAATCAAAATTAAGTTACAGGACGTGGACCACACAGGGATGGTTAAATTCAATTTGAAGTTGCAGTTCAGTCTGACCGAACTATCGTCCTCGTGGGTGGAAATTCCATACAAAGTTAACAGAGGGACACAGGACGTGAGCTAGCGAGAGAAATTTAATGCACTTCCGTCCCCTGGGGCTCCCAGGAAGTTGATTGTTACATAATCAAGAATGCAGGTGTACCATGATTTACGCTGTGAAAAAAACTTCGCAAAAAAAATAGTTAAAATAATCATTATTGAATAAATTTATAATATTTTGACATTTTCCTTGCATGTTGCTGCCTACATTTCAGTATTGTACATTACAAAATATTTCTTTAGACATATTATTTAATTATTTTGACCATAAAATGTGAAAGTTTTTGTATAAATAAATTATTTTAAAGCAGCTTGGATATTTCCCTTTAAAAACAAATACTTTTTTCTTTTAATATCGATATCTTTACAAAAGTGTTGCAGGATAGAAGGAAACGTCATTAAAATTCATTACAATACAAGGCGAAAATAAAATAATTTAGTAAATATTTTTCATTTAATTCAAATTAACAATATTTAAAACAGAAATAAGATTGTGAAACACATAAAAAAATTCTCAATGGATAGGTTTTTTTATACACATCGAGTTAAGTCGTGTTCGGTTGAAGAAATGTGGCCTTAGTATTATCTGGGTACCACATCATTTCGAAATCTCAAAATTCACTGAAGTTTTAGAGGAAACCTCTACCTCGTCCTCTTTTAATTTAATTTGAAATAACTAATTTTGTCAGACTATGAGTATGGCCAGGGAGATAACCAAGAAACAGCAAAGTCTAATCCAGATAAAATTGTCAAAGTTTCTCTGTATTTATGCATTACACAACGTAGACGAATGGATTAATGGATGTTAAGTTCCACGCATTTTTAAATTAGGCATGAGATGGACAGTTACACGATCCGGTCGCCTGTTAAATGTGGCAAGAGTCTTAGACGACTTTTAACCAACAGAAACGATAAATCAGCTTTAAAAATGTGTGAATTAGTGCGAAATAACATACAATGGATGAATAAACAGGAATTTCTTACGACACTACCAACACACGAAAGAAAAATTACCAACACAAGAACGAAAAAATAAACACCTCACTATCTATGGCTTCTGTCTTGCTTGAATGTTGAGAAATTGATGAAAAACTCTTAAGACATATCGTAACAGATGACGAGAGTTGGACAACGATTATAACCCACAGAATTAGTCCCAAGATAATCAGAAATAATTAAAATGTACATTATTATCACCACTCAAATACATCCACACCAAATGAGCATCAAAGCCATATGTTGCTGGTTTCCTGCTAAAATTCAAAATCGATTCTCCTTAGTGCGATATCATTGTACGAACTCACTCATTGTCAGTATGTTGTTTATATTTATTCTTATCCTTGAGACAATTAAAATAACTACGCCATTGTTTCAGTCTAGATAAGAGAAATTTGAACAAATAGTGTGCTATGCTTTTAACATGGTCAAAATACGAGGCTCGTCCACAAAGTAAGTTTCCCTGGGGCCGTTTACAGAAACAAAACATAACTTCATGGAAATATTTATTGCAACAGATACAGCAAGTGTCCAGCTATTTTTCAACATATTCGCCACCGGAATTGAGACATTTGTCATACCGTGGGACCAACTTTTGAATACCTGTGTCGTAGAAGTCTGCCGCCTGGGAT